GCATCTTTTTTTACTCGGTGACAGCTGCACATTATTGGACCTACCTATCAGGACTATAAGGCGGGGCTTCTCTCCAGGCTGTGGTAAATACTGGGTAACTTCCTCATAAATGCGGAATTCAGTCGGCTGGGTTTCTGGAGTGGGGGCCTCTGCTGGGGAACCCTGGCGATCCTTTTTGTGTCTGAGGCTCCTGCGTAAACTGGCTGAGGTCCAGACATACAGAGAGAGACAGACAGATACCACAAACTCTGGTCAAATCACTGCAAACTTATGTTAAATATTGTTATGAACAGTTAAAGATAGATTCTTATAGTTCGGTTTATACTGTCAATCAATCATGCTGCTAAAAAAAAAAAAAAAAACAGGTGCCAATTTTCTAAAATATAGACCTACTGAACAAAGATGTTAACTTGATGTTAATATGTCAAAATTAAATGGATTCTTCAGAGGTGAGCGTGTCGCTGCATTCTTGGGCAGTGGCATACTGGGCTAAATCTAAACAACCTCCCAACCAAGAAAATGCATTATAGAAATGCATCAATAACCTTAAACATTTGACTGATGATTTTAACTTAGAGAAAAAAATATATATATATATGTTTACCTTTAAAATACAATAGAGTTTAAATAAAACTGGATTGAAAAAAATTCACGCCTGTGCTTCATTTTATAAGAGTTAAAAAATTCCACAAATGTGATTGGAGCGAAATTAAACTTCCATTAAAGGAAAACAGATGATATGAGATTGATGTCAAAATAAAGGCTTTTTTTTTTTGGCATTCTAATCAGACGGTAGGAAACTATAATCAACCAGTTGTGGTTCTTGGTGACCAAGATGATTCCTTTCAGCAGCACAAGCTGATGGTCCCCAGAGATATACAAAACCAGCAGAAGACTGGAAAGGAGCCGTTTCCAGCTTGGTCAGACCTAATTTTGTGACTGACTCTGATTGACTGACTTGTTTGTTTTAAATTCTTTTTTCCATGATCAGTAAATGCACCATCCTAAATAGCAGGAGGTTGAATTAATAACACAGCTCTGCTTAGTGTGGAAGCTGAAGACTTTAAATTTCAACAGCTATCCTCACCATCCTCCTGCACAAACTGATGGGCCCCCAGGTGCTTAAAACCATCAGCGCTGCAACTACAAGTTGCTGTAGTGCAAGCCGACAAAACTAAAGAAGACTGCAGTATATATGTTGAAAGGTTTTCAAGAAACTAAGTGAACGTTTTTGATTGAAGCCTATTTGTGGCTGCCATGACCTGAATGACTGAGAATTTACACAGGATTGATTTAGCTATTCTAAGCATCAGTAAGGGGTTTTAAATATAGCTAGAGGAAAGATGCAAGAAAATCTTTAGGAAAAGCGTATATTTTCTATAATATCTACTAAATTTTTAGTAGATATTTATTTATTTCCCATTCTTATTTCTGTGGTTCATGCAGGCAACAAAAAAACAAGAGAAAGCGGAACTTTCACAGGGTAACAGGAAGACCAAATTAAAGAGACATTATGTACGTTTTTACTAATGAATATATTTTTTTTTGATAACTTTATAACTAAAACATTGTTTAATGAGCAGACTGACACATCTGTAATTCAGCACCAAAGCATCCAAACGTTATATTCAAGATGGATTTTGTTGATACTCAGGAGCGACCGACATCCAGTTAAATTTAGACACCCATAGCAAATCCATGTAAGTAGAAAAAAAAACTTGTCAAGTACGAATGTGAGCTACAAGAACAATCAGAGGAATGCTGCAGTTCTGTTTTGGTCACAGGTGGCAGTATCATTATAAAACTCCATAATGCCTCTTTAAGTACAGCAAAGTTGCTCTGTTTAAAAGTCATTTTTAACATATTCTGTCATAAAACCTGTAAATAAATGAGAGGAGGAAAAACATCAAAATTCTCTAAATTAATAAAAATTGATACTGAGGTGTTAACAGTGTAAACCATTTTAAAGATGTGCATTTCATAATAGATTTGTCTGCAGTTTAAAATATCAAAGCCTTGCCTAAAAGAGATCCCACTCCCACAGAAAAAAACAAAACAAGATTATTTAAGTTTAAAGGAATTTGCACAGAACCTCTCTTAATATAATCCATCCATGGCATATACAGTGGCTTGCAAAAGTAATCATACCCCCTGCACTTTTCCGCATTGTCACAAAACAAGGACAAACATAAACATATTTCACTGGAACCTTTTGTAAAAGACCACCACAAAGTGGTATACAACTGTGATTTACATAGAAAATTATACATGTTTTAAAACATTTTTTTTTTTACAATCAAAAAACTGAAAAGTGTGGTTCGCAGAAGTATTCAGTCCCCTTTTCTCTAAATACAAACAGATTGTCCTTGGAAGTTGCCTGCCAATTGCTAATGACTAAATGGGGCACACCTGTGTCTAATCTAATCTGAATATAAAGAAGCGGAGAAGTTTAAAGCAGGCTTAGACTATAAAAAGATTTCCCAAGCTTGGAACGTCTCATGGAGCGTTGTTCAATCCATCATCCGGGAAAAGGAGGCTTATGGCACAACTGTAAAGCTACTAAGACAAGGTCATCCTCCTAAACTTACAGGCTGGACACGGAGAGCACTGATCAGAGATGCAGCCAAGAGCTTTGTGGTGAATCTAGATTAACTACAGAGATCCACAGCTCAGATGGGAAATCCGTCCAACTTTTAGTTGTGCAATGCACAGAAATGGTCTTTATGAAAGAAAGGTATTGTTAATAGAATAAGAAGTTATGTTGGGGACAAAGGAAATGTGTGGAAAGATGTGCTTTGATCAGATTACATCTATGAGCTCTGTTTGGCCATGAACTAAGACTGTGGATCCCTCTGAACACACCATATCCACTGTCAAATATGGGGGTGGCAGCATTATGCTCTGGGAGTGCTTCTCTTCAGCTGGGACAGGGAAGGTGGATGGAGCAAAGTACAAAGCAGAAAGGAAGAAATCTTGTTGGAGTCTCCAACAGACTTGAGAGTTGGGCAGAGGTTCACCTTCTAGTAGGAGAACAATCCTAAACATAAATCTGGGGCTACAGTGGAACGCTTTAAAATGAAACGTGTTCATCTGTTAAAACGGCCCAGTCAGAGTTCAAACTCCAAACCTAAAGGAGAATCTGTGGCAATGCTCTCTATCTCATTTGACTGAGTTTGAGGTGTTTTGCAACAACAACAAAAAAATAAATAAAAATGACCAAAAGTTTAAGTTACTTCATGTGAATAGCTCGTAGAGACATAGCCTAAAGGACTTGCAGCAGCAATTTCAGCAGAACGTGGGTCCACAAAGTATTGACAAAGGTTGGCTGAATGCTTTTGAACAATGGCCTTTCCATTTTCTTATTTGAAACCAGTCTGAATCACTGGACTGAATAGATCCATTATTCATTTGTGTGTCAAGTTTCTTGAGCCAATATTCATTGCATATCAATAATATCTAAGTAAATTGAATTAGTGTTACAGGGATATAGTCACATATCTATTGAACATATCTACTGACTGATTTAATGGGATACAAACAACACAAAGTTCAAATAAACTTGACTTCTGCAGCTTTGACAATGTTTTACATATAAAATAGCAGCAGCTATACTGATCTTTGCAAATGCTGGGAGTCTCCAACATTGCAATTGAATTTTAAATTTAGAGGTGGTTCTTGACTTTTACAGCTTTAAACTCTGAATTTTAAACTTTGGACAACTTTATAGTCATTTTTAAGTAACAAATAAATGCTAACAAATATATTGCAAAAAAAGCCACCTCAAATCAAACCGTCTCTCCCTCATTATAACTCCTACTGCATCACAAGACAAACACTGCAAACAATGTAGGAAGTAAGTTAGTACCTGAGTAAAATTCCCATGAGAAAGCATGGCCACAGAAGGCAGGAGCTGCTTTATTTTTGGGAGAAACTACAGCTTATATTAGTCCAATTATTTCACCATTTTCAAACACTAACAGTAAAAGCTTTAAAGCAATGCATGCTGCGTTCGACTATTAAACACAGAAAACTCAGCCAGCAGTAAGCATGAGGAGCAGCTGTTGGCTGATGGCTCTAAGTGACAATGTGAGAAGCTTGGAGACTGCAGTGTATGACACAAAAAGCCAGTTGCTTTTAATAGATTTGATGTTCATAAGAATAAGTTAGCTAAATAATCTAAAAGAAAATAAAGACAAAAAAGGTAATTAAAGTGCCTCCTATTAGACAATAATGTCTGGAAAAAAAAACAGAAAAAATAATAAAATGCATCTTAAATGGTTGATAAAACTAATAACCTGTTTGCTGCAATAATGCATTATATATATATATATTTTTTTTTTTTGGTAAACATAGAAAAAAGAAGAGCCATGAGAAACTTTCTCAACTTTGTCAATTATAGCTAAAGCCCTGTATAAAACTTTGTAAATTAACTTATATGTACAGTAATTAAGTAGAACATAAAATCCACTTAAACAGATGCATTATATATATAAAAAAACTGAATAACCAAAGATTAACATGTAGTAAAAAACATTTAATAAAGTATGTTTGTGAAGTACAAAATGTCCTTCCTATAATGACATACAAAAACTTTAGTTTTCCAATACCCAAGCACATCAGGTAGTTTAGTTCCATCTAAAATTAACTATTGACTGCAAATTAAAATAGCAGATCACCAGGAGACATTTTTTGGTGTTTTTAATGTAATTAAAATAGTTGTTTCAGTTTATATACATAGTGGAAATGCATTATTTGTCATATAATTATTCAAGTCTTTAAAAAATAAACTATGGTTTAAATATCATACACACATATATATATATATGTATATATATATATATATATATATATATATATATATATATATATATATATATATATATATATACAAAGACCACAATTACATTAGATCAGACACATTGGGAATGAAGAAGTAGAATAATCCTTAAATTGTTGAAGGGTATACGCCTATTACTCACAATTTCTATGTTTCAGCAAACTAACAGGAACGAAATATTTTGTGACAAAATTTTATTCCTAATGCTCTCTTCAGATTTTCTTTGCCAGCAAGTTTTGCTCATTATTAAGTCTACAGCAGCTGAAATGGCACAATAATTAAACCCAATAGGGATGACAGTGGGATAGGATGCAGGAGTTTTCCCTGCAATCAGAGAGTTGCCTTTTAGAACCCCAGCTCCTTCTGTACTTCTTAGTTGTTTTGTCCTTGGGCAAGATATTTCACCTGAATTGCTGACTGATGGTGGTCAGAGGGCCCAGTTGAGTCTGTGTACAAGCAGCATCGCTTCTGTCTGTGAGCAGCTTTGGCTACAATGGTTGAATGACTAAATATAGAAAAGGCTCCGATGGTTCACTAGTGTTGTACATCATGTTTTTAAACTGTAAACAAATTTTTCCCAAAGGCTCAGTGTCTGTCTCACTGAAGATTAAACTGTTATAGAAAGAGGAAATCACCAGAAAACAGAATTACGCCACTTTGAAAAAGCGGAGTTTGAAAAAAATTACTATTAATATTAATATTAGCGTCCTGCTGCAGAATTCTGGACGTATGGTGATCATATCATTTTCTATGCAGCTATTGTACTTATTTCAACATACGTTTCTTAGTATTTTGTAATGCAGCCTCCTTTGAACAGCTTTTATAAAAGATATCTATTTTAAACTAGAGAACAAAATGTAACTCATCAAACAAGTCTAAAGAGCAAAGCATATTGGTGACATAATGGATTTTATTTAAAATCTGACACTTAATATTAGATACGATGATAAAAATTAATGATAAGTCATTTTATTTATATATATATAATTAATTCTCAATTATGTATATTTAAATCCTGTTAATTTTTTTAAACTACTCATTTGATCCTTTTATCTTCTGATAAAATAAAAGCCCAACACGGGAAAACTAATAGCTGTCAAAATAGCTAAGCATATTCTATTTGTAATTATTATCACTGGTCCGTATAGAAATAATTATAAAAGTGTCTACATACAATACAATACAAGGTTTCAAAAATAATCAGAAGCTTTTTGATGGATTCCATCTGGGGCTCATAAGTTACAAAAGAAATTAGCTAATTTCTTTAATTAAACTGCGTTTAAAAAAAACCAAAACCTCAAATAATGAATAAAAACCAGCAAAAAAAAGCACAAAAAACCCACATTAACATAACAATAGCCTTTAGCCTATAAAAGCAAGCATGAATCGGCGCACAGACTAAAAAAATATGATGTTTTAGATGAGATGCTTCCTCACCTACGTCCTTTCCATTCAGAGCACCCTTACTGTCACAGTCTTCTGTTGGACAACAAACAGGGAGAGAGAACAGGGTAAGAAGAGGGAGGGGTTGCTGCAGAGGGGACTCTGAGACGAGCAAGCAGCAGACACAGTGCATTTACAAGGGAAGGTGAGGTATAAGTAAAAACAAAATGTTTTAAAACAAGTGCATGATCCTGTATAAAGGAAGAACTGAATGAATCTGTTGCAGAATTCCAGGTGGGTCAGAAAATTTCCTAACAGTGCTTAATGAAAATGTGGTGATGTGGACCCCGAGGCATCAAACACAAAAACAACAAATAAGAAAAATAGGAATTATATAAACAGATAAAAAATATTAAAGAATACAAAGGCTAGATTTTTTTTTAGGAGATCCACTGAAAAGCTTTTATTAGAAAAGCTTTGGGATGCTGCATTTTCTGCTTGGTTTTAGTGATGTGTTTGTGATTAACACCTCAGGGCAGTTGTCACTATGCTGCATGGTGTCTAATATGAGAGTTTATATACGTACCTTTCTCTGCCCGGTCATCTGAAGATGGCAATGTGAGAGTAACACAAAGTATCAGTGTAGAAACTGTAATAACCACAGCTCTAGGCCTTCTATTGAACAAATAACAACCTTTGTTTCAAATGACCAAACATCTAAAACACATCAAATCCAAGTTAGTCAAGCATTATTTCTCCTTAGTCTTATCAGTGAGGTCTGGCTTTTTCAGCCAGGTAGTAAAAAATTGAAATACACCCATGGTGTTAAATGCCATTAATTTGGCACTGGTAATTTTAAAATTTGAATTCATATCAATGTTCTTGTTTTTAAAAATTAGGTAAAACCATGTTTAATTTGGGGGTAAATGTATATATCTAAGCCTGCATCTATTATAGTCTGTGTTTGGGGAAAAAAAACACTCTAAATTCAAAGTTTTGCAATTGATCAGCATTTACAATAAAATATTTAGATTTATTTTATGATATAACACCTGGAAAACAGCAAAAAAACGTTAAATGTACAGTTGTATGAATTAATGCTAAGTGTACAATAAAGCCTCTGAAACATTTCTACTATAAAAGGAAGGAAGGAAGGAAGGAAGGAAGGAAGGAAGGAAGGAAGGAAGGAAGGA